ATGGCTCTCAAAGGAGAGAGATGAAGGAAAACACAGCGAGAAACAGGCATCAAACAGATAAAATAATTTACCGTGGGCTCTTTGAATTGCATCTAATCAGTTTCCAAGTTTCAATACTTGTTTCAGAATGTGAGATACACCTTTCCTCCAAAGAGTCTCTCAAAAAGAATTTCAAAACTACTCAATTCTTGAGTTTGATAGTGTGAGTTCAAATAATAAGGAATACGTGTCCTGGAATAATCCTCAAACAGTAGGTAAAAAGGGAATAAGAGAGTGAGGTAATAGGGGACCTAGAAAAATATTTTACTAGTTACAGAAAACCATTAGCCTCATATCCCATATGGAGAGACTGCAAGCAAGCTATATGCATACTAAGTTCCATACTCAGTTTCTTTCTTAAATGTAAATATTATCCAGGGTACTAATCATCCTGGATGAGAAATTAACTCTTATTTTTAGACATTCCTATGGGAAAAATGCAGCTTGAGTTTTAAACAGCACACTCATAAACTTTAGGAACCCAACCCATTTGAGTTCTTCAGGTTGTTGTGACATCCTCAATGTTCCTTAACAAAAAAGTCAACCTCTCTCTCATCTTGCAGTACTGATTCTTCTCTCATTTTTAAAACTCTACATATGGATAGATTTTCTTCATTTTAAAAAGAAAAGCTGATGCCCCAATTTTATTTATTTTCCAATTTAATACCAACCTAATGTACCTGAAATGTGGTTTCCGGTTGACTTTTATTATTCTCTAATGTCATTACTCCCTCTAGTGGTAGAAAATGTGATCAAACGACCAGCTCTAATAAAGGTAGGTTTTTGAGGTAAACCAAAAACACAAGTTTAAAGAAAAAAATTTAACTTTCTTATTGGGCAAATGTTAACTAAAAAAATTTACTCACTGTAACTTTTACAATAAACAGTGAATTTTCAATTGTCATTCAAGTATATGAGAAAAGTAAGAATTACGGTATCAACAGGCTCTACATTATCTGGGAGCTACCTTAATCTGAGAGACCTGAGTCACATGAGTAGCCACAGGTATTGGGTTTAATAACAAATTTGATATAAAAATGCATGAAGAAAGAGGATACTACTTTTTCTTGTAATATGGTATTTGGGAGGTGTAATGTTTAGATATGATGGCTTATAAATAGATGACTGACAACAATATCTAATTTCATCTCCCTTTAATTCAGAAAAAGAGCTTAGGCTTGTTGATTTTATTTCCTTGTCTTTTAACCCAGAGAATCTCAACTCTGGCAACACATGATCTCTTGGGAAATTAAAAAAATTTATGCTTGGGCCCCATCTCAGAAAATAAATCAGAGCATCATTCCTGGTGGACCACGGTATCAGTAGTTTTAAAACGGCACTAAAACTATAAAACTTTCAGAAGAAGACATAGGAAAAATATCTTCATGACATTGATCTGGCAATGATTTCTTGGATATGACACCAAAAGTGCAGCCAATACACAGAAAAAAACAGGTAAGCTGAACTCCACCAAAATTAAAGACTTTGGTGCAGCAAAGGACACTGTATCAAGAGAGTAAAAAGACAATTCATGGAATGGGAGCAAACACTGGCAAAGCAAGTATTTAATAAGAGATAGTATCAATATATGCATATGGAAAGATGCTCAACATCACAAGTCAACAGGGAAATGCAAATAGAATCAAAGCCACAATGAGATATCATTTCATATCCAGTAGGATGCTTCTTATCAAACAAGAACAAACAGAAACTACCAAGTACTGGTGAAAATGTGGAGAAATTGGACCTCGTGCGAATTGTTGCTGGGAATGCAAAAAATGGTTCAGCAGTTGAGATGAACAGTATAGTGGTTCCTCAAAAAACTAAACAATCACCATATGATGTAGCAATTCCACTTCTGTAGCACTGAAAGCAGGAATACATATTTTTACAGTCAAAAGGTGGAAAACAGCTCCAAATGTCCACTTGTGAATGAAGGGATGGATAAACAAAATGTAGTCTATACAAGCAATGGAGTATCATTCAGCCTTAAAAAGGAACGAGATTCTGAAATATGGAGGATGACCTTTTAGGACATTATGCCAAGTGAAATAAACTAAACACAAAAGGACAAATATTGTAGGATTCCATTTATATGAGGTACCTAGAGTAGTCAAATTCATAGTCAGAAAGAATGGTGGTTGCGAGGGGCAAGTGGTTGGAGTAATGGATAGTTAGTGTTTAATGGGTATAGAATTTCAGTACAGGATGATGGAGAAGCTCTGAGATGGTGGGAGTGCTTGTACAACAACTGAATGTACGTAATGCCACTGAATTGTATGCTTACACATGATTTATGGTAAATTTTGTTGTGCATATCTTAGCACAATTAAAAAAAAAGCCACTTGGGCAGTTTTAATTTGCAGTCAGAGCTGGGAACCAGTGTTGCAAAGACGAAGCAGATAAGCCAAGAAAGGGAGAGTGTGACAAGTTAACATGTGAAAATATTCAGTATGAGCAGTATGTTTCTGACAGGAGGAAGAGTAAAATCTATAATCTGGCATGTATTTCTATAAATTAATTCTATCATTTCACAAATATTAAAGATGTCCACTCTTTCTTCTAGAGAGAACATATCCTCTTTCCATACTGGTCCTCTTGAAAATCCAAGTAATGTTTACATTCTTCCACAATAACTATATAATAGGATCTAAGTAACAGACACAATACTTTATTGAGGGTTTATGGGCTGGAGGTACTGTAAGGTACTGTGATAAATGCCTTACCCACATATTTCAGTTATTCCTTAGAACTATCACCAGAAAGCTAGTACTGGCAGGACTGAGACTAAACTAGGTCTGCCTCATTATCTCCTTTTTATAGCCCATTACCTGAAGATTATCCACATATTTCTAGTCCTCTGTCATTGGTGTTCTTGCTACCTTCTCCGACAACCCAATCTTCTTTAAAGGTGAGTTGACATGCTGTATTATCCAAGCTTTCCTGAAGTCACCTACCAGACAGCCAGAGCACTTGGCCTCCGCCTTTCTTACAAGACTGCATTATTGTTATTACATACCTGCCTCGTAATCCCTAGGAAGACGCTGACCTAGCATGACTGCTGACTCCTGGAGACACTACAGAGGGAAACCACCTCTGGACAGACCTGGGATGGTATGAATGTGTGTGTGTAGGATGGAGGGTGGTGCCTCAGCCTGGGGCAGGAGGCACGTGCTTGTGAGAAGATAAGTGAGGACACTGGACGCCGAGAACTTAGAAATTTTGTTCCTGCTCCTCCCTACCCATTGCCTGTATAAACACATATGCTGCCTTACGTGCAGCCCCTGAGGGATCTGGTCTATGTTCAGGAGTTAAGGTAGGGCAGTCTAAAAAGAAGCCCTGCTGTGAAAAGCTGACAGAGCCAGGAGACAACAAGATCTGACAGCGGCTTTCTCACCCCACCCTCTCCAAACCCCAAGAGCTGATCAATTATACTGACACATTATAGAGCACAGCCTTCAAATGCTGCTTTTGTCCTGCTCCTCCCCAAACGTGGGGAGTTGCATCCTGAGACAGTGTTTTGTGATCATTAACTGCAGTCGTGTGGTACCTAGTTAGCAACCCCATAGCTCGCCTACCTTCATCCCTCAAGGTTATCACTGGGGCTGACATGGGCTCTAACAATGGTCCTCAACACAGGCTGCACATTAGAACGACTCAGGGAGCTTTAAAAGCAGAGTCAGACCAATTTTTGCGGTGGGGCTTGGAGAGTCACAGTTTTCACAAGTGCTCCCAGTGATTCTCAAGAGCAGCCAGAGCTGGCACTGGATTCAAGCCTGGCTTCTCTCCTTTTGGATTACTTGTATATGGCCAATACCCAGTAAGACAAGACATTTGAGGATCACAAATATTTCATGGAAGAGCAACAAAATGTATCATAAACTATATCAAATACAGAAAAGATTAAACAGATTTATTAATTTAAGCCTTTTATTATAATAATGTCAAGATATATTATTAGAGTATTAAAGAAGAAAAAAAGCAATGCAGAAATATTAAGTATATAGAATTAACTAAAAAATACAATAGATGGGATAGATAATACAAAGTACTTTCTGAGGAATGAACTAACTGGAAGACCCAGTCTCCAGAATGAAAAAGGAAGAGACAGAGCACCAGAAAATAGTCATGGAGGATTCATACCCACATAGTGGATGTCCGGAAAAAAGGAAAAAAGATAGAGGAGAACATAGTTGAACAAATAATGGAGTTAACTTCTCCAGAATAAAATAAGCTGAAAAAGCTAAGAATGATAAGGCCAGCTCTCAGAGTACTAAATAGGAAAGGAAACACCCACCCTTAGCAATACTGATATAAAACTTAGAATATGAAAGACAAAAGATTTTCAACAGAACGCTTAGCACACAGCAGATACGCAGTAAGTATTCATAAAAAAAAATCTACAGCATGAAATAAAGACATCATCAAACTTTTATAAGGCAGTTATTGTACCAAATTCAATTATTCTAGGGGGAAAAAATAACATGATGAACAAAATGAGGATATTTGAATTTGGTCAAGTTTCCTAAATCTCAAGACTGTTGTTAAAATTGTTTCTGGTGAAATTAAAGTTTTATCTGTATATTTTTAGTTATGCTACTATTTTGGGGAATAATCTAAAACCTCCATTCTCAAGGTAGGTTTCATTAAAGACAGATCTTGGCTAGTTATGCACATTTGAAACACAACACACCGTCATCCTTTCCCTCCTTTCCCGACACACAATTAAAGACCCAGAGTGCTCTATTCATGTGTAAGTACACTAGGAGCTGAGGGGATAAAGAGGGTGAAACAGGCATAGAGTTAACTACAGAACACTTCCAGTTTTCTAGTAATAGTCAAAAAGCCAGGGACTGCTCATAAGCACGTTTTCAATTACAGAAATGCCTTTTATCTTTATTTGCCCCTTCTTTGTAACAGTTATGCCAGAGGCTCATAGAAGCTTTTCAGTAATGGCTTACCTGGTCAATATCAGCATTTCTTGGAAGAAAGTAAACTATGTTATTAGTGATCTTCTTGGACAGTCTGAAAATTTCAAAGGTGGACAGCATTAAGGAAAAGTACAAAAACAGCAATTAATTTGTTATTATATCATAACCTAAATGTACTTTGATATGTAAAAATAAGACACACATTTAAATCCTTTAATGGAACCAAAAAGAGAATTAGGTACCAGATTTTGCAATTCAATAGCATACTGCTACAGAAAGGTCAGAGATTAGAAGTTAAACCTATTTATTCAGTTACCCTAGTGGTGGGCAGACAAGAGTCAGAAACACATTTTCTCTTTCTGCCATTTCCTAATTATTGGGAAAATAGAAAGAACAGGAGAGCATAATACCATCATTTTCCAGTAAAGAATATAAAGACAAGTAAATATGGTTGCGCTAGTCTGTTATGAATTTTAATTAGCAATTTGGAAACACATTTCCTGTTACAGTCAAACAGAATTCCTCTGGGAGTAGAGATAAAGAAAGGGACAAATAATAAATGCTATTCTTTATGAAATAGGAGTTTGCTTCAGTATCTTGTAAGAGTAACAGGAAAAATTTGGAGATGCACAGAGAATTAGCACCAAGTTAGTGTGAGTTGGAGACAAGTTAAGGGATAGTCACCTAGACTTTGGGAACATGTCTTGAGGAATTCCCAATTTCCAGACAATATTTCCAAACAATGCATTCTAGTTCTTGTTTTGTAATGGCAAAACTGAATAGTAACCAAAGGAAATATGACCTCACATTTGCTACTATTTTGTAGGTCAACTACCACTTAATTTTTACATACTTGCTTTTTATGTAAATTAAACTGTAATCTTTCAAGAGTTATTATTAGCTGATCTCTCTCCTTTTCATTAATCTCTTTGAAACACACACACACATCCTTCGTCTCCACAACCACCGTGTGAGTAAACCCTTAGACTTCCAAAGGATATCCATCAGGAGTCATCATCGTCCTAATGTCAAAGGTCTCTGCAGTGGCATAGTCTGGCCCTCCCCAAGGAGGGCTAAGGAACACAACATCAGCCTTTAAATGAGAAGCCAACAGCAAGAAATCTCCACAGATGAACTCTATTTTGTCTGCTATTCCATAAACCTCTGCATTATTGCGAGCAAGATCGATCTTAACAGGATCAATATCAATGGCAATCACTAAAAATGGAAAAAGGAAAGATGAGTCAGATGACACTGATTATTAGTTATACAGAACAGTTCCTCTTCTGAGTAGTCTGTTGTTTTTTATTTTTCTGTCAAGAGCTTTCTTTTTTTTTTCTCATGTTGCCTATGCACTTTTTTTGAGAAAGTAGTTTTATTTCATTTATTTTTTATTACAATTTTTAAATTAAGGTATCATTGATATACACTCTTATGAAGGTTTCACATGAAAAACAATGGGGTTACTACATTCACCCATATTATCAAGTCCCGCCCCCCCATTCCCCATTGCAGTCACTGTCCATCAGTGTAGTAATATATCACAGTCACTACTTGTCTTCTGTGTGCTACACTGTCTATCCCGTGACCCCACACCATGGGTACCATCATGATACCTCACAATTCCCTTCTCCCTCCACCTGGCACCTCCCCCACAACCCCTTGCCTTTGGTAACCACTAGTCCCTTCTTCGGAGTTTGTGAGTCTGCTGCTGTTTTGTTCCTTCAGTTATCTTTCATTGTTATACACCACAAATGAGGAAAATCATTTGTTACTTGTCTTTCTCTGCCTGGCTTATTTCACTGAGCATAATACCCTCCAGCTCCATCCACGTGGTTGCAAATGGTAGGATTTGTTTCCTTCTTATGGCTTAATAGTATTCCAATGTGTTAATGGACCACATTTTCTTTATCCATTCATCTACTGATGGACACTTAGGTTGCTTTCATATCTCGGCTATTGCAAATAGTGCTGCAATAAACATAGGGATGCATATATCTTTTTGAATCTGAGAACTTGTATTCTTTGGGTAAATTCCTAGGAGTGGAATTCTTGGGTCAAATGGTATTTCTATTTTTAGTTTTTTGAGGAACCTCCATATTGTTTTCCACAATAGTTGAATTAGTTTATATTCCCACCAGCAGCGTAGGAGGGTTCCCCTTTCTCTGCATCCTCACCAGCATTTGTTGTTGTTTGTCTTTTCGATGCTGGCCAACCTAACTGGTGTGAAGTGATATCTCATTGTGGTTTTAATGTGCATTTCCCTGATAACTGGCAATGTGGAGCATCTTTTCATGTGCCTGTTGGCCATCTGAATTTCTTCTTTGGAGAATTGTCTGTTCATATCCTCCACCCATTTTTAAATTGTGTTATTTGCTTTTTGGGTGTTGAGGTGTGTGAGTTCTTTATTTATTTTGGATGTTAACCCCTTGTTGGATATGTCATTTACAAATATATTCTCCCATACTGTAGGATGCCTTTTTGTTCTGCTGATGGTGTCCTTTGCTGTACAGAAGCTTTTTAGCTTGATGTAGTCCCTCCCATGTGTTCATTTTTGCTTTTGTTTCCCTTTCCTGAGATGCATTCAGGAAAAAGTTGCTCATGTTTATATTCAGATTTTTGCCTGTGTTGTCTTCTAAGAGTTTTATGGTTTCATGACTTACATTCAGGTCTTTGATCCATTTCAAGTTTACTTTTGTGTATGGGGTTAAGACAGCAATCCAGTGTCATTCTCTTGCAAGCAGCTGTCCAGTTTTGCCAACACCAGTTCTTGAAGAGGCTGCCATTTCCTTACTGTATGTCCATGGCTCCTTTATCGTATATTAATTGACCATATATGCTTGGGTTTTTATCTGGGCTCTCTAGTCTGTTCCATTGGTCTATGGGTCTGTTCTTGTGCCAGTACCAAATTGTCTTGATTACTGTGGCTTTGTAGTAGAGCTTGAAGTTGGAGAGCGTAATCCCCCCAGCTTTATTCTTCCTTCTCAGGATTGGGTCTTTTGTGGCTCCATATGAATTTTAGAACTATTTGCTCTAGTAGGTTGAAGAATGTTGTTGGTATTTTGATAGGAATTGCATTGAATCTGTAGACTGCTTTAGGCTGGATGGCCATTTTGACAATATTAATTCTTCCTATTCATGAGCATGGGATGTATTTCCATTTATTGGTATCTTCTTTAATTTCTGTGTAGGAGCTTTCTTTAAAGACTAAGGGAGATATGGCCACATGTACCAGATACAATTTAATTAAAAATTTTAAATCAAAATTAGATTCACTTGTGTTGTACCAAGGAATGGTGATGGAAGGAACTGGCTTTCAGAGTTGTCTCATTCAGCCAGCTTTACCAAAGCAAGCAGTGAAAGTTGCCATGATCTCCTGAAAGACAAATCTGTGCTAAGCACTACACTCTGTGGACTTTAAAGCCTGAGTGACAAACACTTGGAAAGATCACTGACAGCATGTAAAGCCTGTCGTGCTAAGATTTCAGAGAAGACCAATTTCCTTAAAATGAGAAAACTTCAAAGGATGACAAATTTGAACTTCTTCAGAAAAGTAAATTAAAACACATTTTGACAAACCTACATAGCCAATTTATGATGAAGAAATGTAAAAACATCTGTTGATAATGTTTAATGAGACCTTTTAGGTAGAAGGAACAATGTTATATTTCTCCAAATGGGCTTTCATTTAATTTATTTCAATTTCATAATTAGCAATGCAAACATGTTAATTTTAGCTCATTCATGTCTTGCAGTAAATAACTCAATGCACCTGTATGTGCACCAGTGTGTTAGTGGCAATATTTTATATTTGGAAGGGCTAAGTGGAATCCTGATGCATATGCCATGATTTTCATGGAAACATAGCTGTTTCCCAAAAAATGCCAGTTTCAAAATTTTCAACAGTGCACTAAATAAATCACTTGAACAATGAATACAAGCACCAATTACATTTGTAAAGCCATGCATTTACAACGCCATTTCTTCTGTTCTAAATAAACTCATATTTATATGAGAAAACATGAGTATGTCCTTTTTAGCTGCTCTGTATAGACACAGTGGAAAGATATTCTGACAATACCGACACTCAATAGGAAAAGTGACCTTCAGCATCAAATGTATTTTGTTAATCCTCCTGTTTCCATCTGTACTTCTTTTATAGACTGACTTTGTTTTGAGGCCTAACAGAATGGCAACACTCTATGACACAGATGAAATACTGACAAATGTTGGATGATACTGTATAGAACTGCATTGTCCAGTAATAGTAGCCATTAGCCACAAGTTGCTATTACCTTTAAATTGATGAAAATTAAATAATATTCAGAATTTAGATGCTCTGTCACACTGCCACATTTCAAATGCTCAACAGCCACATATGTCTATGGCTACCACCCTTGTCAGTGCAGATATAGGATATATCTGTTTCAGATCTGTTGCTTCATCAGAGGGCAGATATTTTGTCTTGTTATGATACAATGCCAAAACGAAGACAAATGTTACAACTTTTGAGGAAAATCATTTTCATGCAATGAACATTGATTTTTTTTAAGCTCACAGGAATGGCTAAACTTGCAAAGGCAGAGAACCTTTTGAGTAAATAATGAATTCAGAGAAAACAATAAAATAGTTATTATTTCAAGTAAACATGAAAATAGCTTTCATCTCCAGGCTGTTGGGGGGCCATATAACATTAGCAAATGTCATGTCCTGGAGCATATGAGATACTGAATAAGGCCAGTTTATCATCATTACTCTTAAAGTCAATGTTAAGTTTCACTTCATCATCTTCTAGCTTTTATATTAAGCTTTCCAGAATCATACTCTTTCCTAGTTAACATCAAGAACTTTATATGAACTAATAAGAATCAATTGAAATTTACTGAAATGGAAACTGTATGTATAATATAAAGGCACTGGTGGAAAAAAGCATCTTCAGAGTATGACTTGACAATTGATGTCTCTAAATACCCTGTCACACTATCCCCTAAAGAGAATTTAGAAAGAACAGGAATATCAGACTTAGAAAAAAACAAAAACAAAAACCGAATAAAAGCCCTGGCTTCATGACTCGGTGATGCCCATGTGAGCAGACTACTGAGTTTCATGCAGCCTTGTTTTTTTCTCTGCAGACAGCACAAGAACTACCTACGTGACACAGTTCTGAGGAGATGCGTGGTATAGATCTTTTCTTTTGTGTGATTGCAAAGTCAACCATGAGATGACCTAATATTTAAAAGTCTTTTTTCTAGTGTCTTAGAATGTTAAAGCTAAAAGGTATGGGAGGTTATCTCAGTTTAATGTCTCCTTTAAATTAAGGTTAAAGGATGTCCAAAGTCATCAAGGTGATGTGTGGCAAAACTGGGACTCCGTGCCCATTCTTCTCTTCTTCTAAAGAACAGTCTTCCATTTTAGTCTTTTTAGTTTTATATAATGTTATAACCTTGGCTCCATCAAGCTGTGTCTGTGTAATTGTGGGCAAGTTACTTCATCTCTTTATTTCCTAGTTTATCTGTGAAATACAGATAATAAAAGATGCACCGAACAAGATCACTAAATAAATTAATGTATATCAAACACTTATACCAGCAGGTGATGCAAAGTATATGTGTAATATATGGTATTTTTATTTTAAATATTTGGCATTAAATTATTAATTATATATTAAATTTCAGCAAAGATAGGCTGAAGGATAATGCAATGTTTACTGAATATACTGAAGTAAATTATTTTTCTTCAACTGATGGCTGATTACCTCTCTTTCCTGTTAAATGCAATGTTTACTGAACATATTGAAGTAAATTACTTTCCTTCCACCGATGGCTGATTACCTCTCTTTCCTGTTAAGGCAAACTGAATGGTATTTCCTCCAACTCCACAAAATGCATCTACTACAATGTCACACTTGAAGGACTGACTGACCCGGCCAGCAATGTGCTCAGCAATCTTCTCAGGTGTAACTGAAAACCAGCCCTCTGTGAAGGAAGAGGATTTCAGTTAAGAGGTTCAATTTCAAGAAGCCAAGCCAAGCATAAACAGAGCAAACATTACTTATATGTAACACCCTTAAAAAAAATTTTTTTCTTTCAAAAAATTAGAAATTACCTAGTTTTAGAGAAGAGTTCTACAAAGCTTGTTATAAAAAGGAGAAATACCACTTCCATTCTCAATTTCCACAGAAACAACCACCTCAATTCTTGCCTGATTCTTTTGCAATATACCTCCAATAACTGCATGCAATTCTGAATTTTCAGTTTGAGGTATTAACTATTGACTACTATAGAAAATGAAAAGTTCACTCTTCTAATTGGCCAACTCCACTGAGTTTCCCAATTATTTCATACCTAATGAGGAAGCAATAAACCAGATGTGTACTGTACATTTTGGAAAAATTAAGACATCCAAAGGGTGAGAAAAAGCAAAGAGCTGATAGCAAAAGGCTGCAGAGCTGTAGGAATAGCAGAATCCTCACCATTTTCAGAAATGAGGTCCAGAGGAAAGAGGACATTGCCTTCCTTCTTTCCCAACAGAAGAAATTAACTTTTCAGAAAACTATTTCTCTGAACAAAATGGTGTACCAATTTTCCTATTCCCTTTCTTCACCATCACTTTAAATGGGTCCTCATTGTTGGGAGAATAAAAAAATAAACTGCTTTTATAGGATCAAAGGCTTTTTTCTTGGGTCAAAAGTCTTACTTCTCCTAACAAACTCCTGTGTAGTTTCCTCAATATACAACATTTTGTAAGTAATTATAAGAGGTTCACAGAACTCCTGAACTTCTATTCCAGAGCAACATGTCCTCATTTTCAATTTTTAAGGACCAATATTTAGGTACTCCAATATGAAACCATCCATTCACAGAATTGAATCAAGTAAGCTGTTTAAGGTCACAGTAGGAAAACAAGAGAAAGAATCCCAAGTTTCCAGCATTAACTCATTAAGTTACATATTTCTGCACTATGTTATTTCTTCATCAGATGTTCTGTTCAATTATCTATCAATTCCTTTTGCTATCTTAAGATGCTACAAATACAGATTAAACCTGAGTCTGATGTTTTAACAACAAATATAAATCCAAATAGAGAGACTGTAGAAAGTAACTGGCCATTGTTCTCTAGAAAATATCTAAGTCATAACTGACAAAAAAGGGTAAGCACTACTCCAGATGAAAGGAAAATAAGGAAACATGAAAACTAAATGCAGTATGTTATTCTATACTGGAAAAAGAAAAGGTTTAGAGGACATGACTAGGATAATAAACTATGGACTATGAATTATATTGTAATAATATTAAATTTGTAATTTTGCCTTGTGACATAAAAATACACACAATTCTATTTCTTAGAAAATACACACAAAAGTATTAAGGGGTAGGGGGCTACTGGTTCAGAGAAATACACACACACAGAATGATAAAGCAAATGTGGCAAAATGTTAAAAATAGTTGAATGTGGGTAAAGGAGATAGGCAAATTTTCTATTATTCTTGCAGCTTACATGTAAGTTTGAAATTATTTCAAAATAAAGTTAAAAAATTACATAAATACTTTACCTCTGTCTAATTTAATCCCATCATCAAAACGGGAGAAGAGCCTGTATCTCTGGGCCCAGTATTTTGCCAGCTCAGGAACAGCAGCAATTTCAGGAGGCAGACCAATTACCTTTCTGTTCTTGTTTTTCTTCTTCTTCTTCTTTTTAATTTCAGCTATAATAAAAAGAATATAGAGAATGCAGATGCTCACTATGAAACAGAGGAAATCACAGGTGAATTTATTTAAAAGTGTAGTGACATCAAATACTTAACAATCTGGGCTTGCACTTGAGAACAAGTATGTGAACTCATACCAGGAGAAGCAGAAGGCACAACGGACACAACGCAGAGTTCAGATCATAGCCTCTAGTTTGCAGGTATTGGCCCCCTGAGCTCTGAAAAGTAACCCAGGTTCTCTAAGATCCACTTTTTTAATACCTCAAGAGGAATGAATGAGCAGTATTTCACCAACTTCAGAGGATTGTTAGGAGATAGGTAGAGGTATTATCAAAAGTATAAAAGTTATTATGTCTGCTAGATAAGACATTGCTTTAGTTGGTGATTTACAGAGATCCAAATGTTTCCCTTCCCTTCTTTAAAATAGTATCTCCCAAGGATTGATTAAGCTCTAAGTCTCAGCTCATTAATCCTCCGAACTCAGCTATGATCTACAAGTCCCACAACCTCCGTGAAATGCAAACAGGTGTCATTAGCTCCACTGAGTAGAAAAGGGCCTCATTCACTCAGAAACTGGCTTTTTCTTAGATAAACAATTTTTACTAGTTTGGTTATTTAGTTTTAATTCTGAGATTAAAGAAGCAACTTAGAAATATGAGAGTATGGTCACAGCTAAGTTTAATGATAAGAAGTAATGTTGACAAATAAAACACTCCTTATATTTAAATGGTCCCCAAGGATAGGACTGTCTTCATATGGTTATTGCAAATAGCAAAAGGTGTCATCAAAAGCAAAGTGCAACATGTGTTTCTTAGGAGAGGGGGACACTGACATTCTGAGTAAACAATTCCTTACTGTACAAGACCACCCTGTACATGACTTAACATTAAGTGATTCAAAGTAGTAAATGCTAGTTAGTATTTCCCAGATCATTCTGACAACTGACATCTTCCAAATGCTCCTGGGAAGGTGGCATAACCTCAGGTGAGAACTACCAGCACTGTGACTAGTAGTGATTAGGCAGGTAGGGTAGGGCAGGAAAATGGGATGGAGGAATCAGACAACTTGGCACTCCACGCTGTGCCACCTTCCAGCTGTGTGAGCTCAAATTTCTTAGTTTCTCTCAGCTTTACTTTCCACACTTAGAGAATGGGGATAATTCCACCTATCTCCCTGAGCTGCTTCACACATTAAGTGAGAATAAAGGCACATGAAAGCATTTCATAAGTCTGCAAATATTACATGAATATCAGTTGTATAATGACAATAAAAAAAACTTAACCTACCTTACGTATGCTACTGAGAAAGGCAAAGAACTAAGTGACACAAAGATCACAGGTTTACACACACTAAGGTTCAAAGAGAAAATACTAAGGTCCAAATAAGGCATTTTCTTCACTACTAAATTAGGAAAGAAACCATCACAACAAATATAATTGCTTCATTAGGGTGAGTGTGAAATAATTCATCAATAAAACTGAATACTCTGTCACATGAAAATTTCTACCTTATAAAATTCTCAGTGTTCTACTGTACACAATTATTTTTTAAATTATGAAAGAACATTTGGTGTAAAGTAAATTCAAAGTGTACAGAAAGGCATAAAGTAAAAGTGTGGCTCTGTTCTCCATTCATTACAGCCAACTACTATAAATATTTGTCAACATACCACCCAAAAACAAACTATCTCTATTAACATCCATGACAAAAAGCAAAAAGAGGAAAAAAGAAAAGAAAGCCAGGGCAATACCAAATTTCAAAAGGAATAAAAGGGATTGGCCCCAGTGAGCCCATGGGAACAGTTGAGCAGTGCAGACCAATCTTAATCGCACAGGAGGAGGTCTGCAAACACAGTTTTCCCACATGCTTTCCCTTCTATTTTATTTACTCTCTTAGTCAAGAGTGTAGTGTGCTCTGTGTGCCAAAGCACAGCCATTAGCACATTTACATTTAATATGCCTTCTCTCAAAAGCATTCATGGACACTAGTGGAAAACATAAAAAAAAAATATATTTATCTAATATCTAAATCCATTAGCAGACTGAAGCACAGTCAGTCTTACCTGCAGTTTCTATGTGAAGAGAGTCTGGTGTAACCTGAGTAACACAATCTTCCTTATCTGTAATGGCTGCTACTGTGCTGGCCCTTCCATTTTTTCCTGTTTCGAGTTCACCAGTTGAAGATGTGACATGATCCTTCTCAGGTTCTGGAGTGCTTGTCCCCAGGGGATTGTTGTCTTTTGTAACAGACATTTCCTGTTCCTCGGAATCAGTACTTGTGCAAGTGTCTTGCACATTGTCATGAGAAACTGACTCCTGTGATGCTTCCTCATCCACTGGTTCATTTACCCACTTTAGGAATTTTTCCACCTGGAATTTCAGTTGTCACAAGTGTGAATTAATTCCAAATTACACAGAATATTACCACCTGCTTTAGCTTTACTATTTATGACTTGACTGATATGCTGTGTCATGATCATTAGTGATCAGATTACTGATCTAATCAGATTACTCTGATAAATTCACTGTATCATACAAGCTAACATGAGTAGGTAATTATGAGCTAACTATAATATCTAGACATATCATGACCTTAATTTTTCAAATTTTATGGAGCTTTCTGTAATGGCCCAGGCTACAATCTACATTAAAGGGTACTCAGCATCAAAGATAAACTCTAAAAAGATTTGTGCCAATTATCTGTAAGAATAAGAGCAGTGCTAGCTTGGAAAGAATGTGAGCTGCCTTTTAATGAAGCAGTAGAGTCAGTAAAATGATTCCTAAAAACTAGGTTTCTGCTTCAAATGTTAACAAGGCTCCAGGCCAGGTAATATATGCCTCTTGCAATTTTCTGAACAAGAATGGTCTTTATAACAATCTTCATCACCATCCTAAGAGTTAGGAAATGAGAACAAAAGATGGACATGGTCAATAACCCAGAACCTTCCTTTTAGGAGATTGTGCCTACAGAGCATCAGATCTCTAAGGACACAACAGTGACATTTTTTCTTCAATACTTAGCAGTTATATTTCTGCTCTTCAACTATAGATGAATGTATGGGGCCTATCTCATCCAACACATTACAAAAAGTCCCATAAGACTGATTGGGAAATTGTTCCAGATATAACCAGTACCACTAAAATATTAAAATATCACCAGCAACCAACCAATCCGAAATATAATAAAAATAGAAGCAGTTATAAATTTGTAACATGTTTTGGAAAAATGCTAAAGTTAGGAAGGCTAGTTCCCTAAGGGTAAAACAGTCATCACAGAGGCCGGAAATTTTGTTCCATTGCCTGAAGAGCTGCTGAAGATGGGACTGACACAAAGGTCCTGTTCACTAGCAGATGTTTTCTTATGTAATGGAGAAGGATCACTCATTAGGCCAAGCAGAAGGAACTCTGACTACTTTTGTGTTCCAGGTTCTTGGAGAGAGGTACAGCAAGGTCCACAAGAGGGGATAGGAATATTCCACAAGAGTGGATAGGAATATTCCAATTAACAATGTGAATCACTCAATTAGCACAAGAGTATTAGGATGAACTTGTATAGCAAAGTTTGACTGATCACCTCTAGATAACCTCAAAAATTAAGGCTTACAACAGATGCGGTAACAGAAATTAGACTTCCAGGATCCTACTTAGCCTGGAATAGATGAGAGATAACCAGCCTGTTACTACTATGCAAGGCAATGTTACCTATTTACCTTCCCAGATACTATGCAAGGCAATTTTACCTATTTACCTTCCCAGATACTTCTACTTTGTAGCTTTTAAAACATCCCCCTTTCATACTGCTCCCAAACTTTTTTCAAATTAAGTTCCCACAATATATGCCTTTAGAAAGTAAGTTATAAACCAATCTTAGGCACCATTTACAAAATTTTAAGTATATCTGGTAGAAACAGGTTTCCCACCGGAAAACAATTTTAAGGAGTCAAGCTCACAAATGAGTTTCTATTGTAAATACTTATATATACCTTACTCAAAGTTTTGCTTTTCTTGAGAAATGTTTTTTCTGACTCTTCAGTAAAGAAGATGTGTTTGTTTTTCATATTTATCTGTCTTCTCATGTCCAAGAACTTTGACTTGTACTTCACATTCTTCTGTAGATACCTTACCCGCCGATGACTGAAATTTGAAATTCCACCGTATCTGTTACCAAACCAAAAGAAGGTGACTCAGACCTTAAGTTCTGAGTTTGTTTCCTTACATAAAAAAAGATTAACAATTTTCACTATTTTTCTGTTAGCAGCCACCATTTTCACTTTTCTTAATTTTGCAAATTATGAAATAAAATTCAAAATGCAAAGGAGTTTAAGCTATAGCTTATGTGTTAATTCTCAGGTAAATGTGAAACAACAAAGTTGGGAATAGCAACATGTCTTTTATATAGAGCAGAAAGCAGAAATTACGTAGTAAAATGTAATTAAGAAAGAATAGGAAATAAATTTTTTCTCACCCAGGTTTTACCAAAGCTCTTTAACACTTAGCTGAATATGTTTATCTTAAAAGTGGTCATTAAATTCTTAACCTAAAATAATCCAAGCTTACCAAAGAGGCAAACACCTGTTATCAAAATAATTAAGAGAATGTCTGCTCATCTATTCATTTGAATTTTTCTAGTCCTAAAATACATATATTTGCTATGAAGCCTTCTTTTGACTACATCAAACCTCTTTTAACTGCCTCTCCTATAGATTGGAGACTTAACAGTGTAATACAAAATTTAGTATAGAATTTAGCACGTATAAATTCCTGAATGGTTTGGTTTTAAATGTCAGTTGTTATCTTTTAGCTATATTAGGAACTTCTTTATAAAAAGTCTTTATCTTGTCCTTCTTTTTAAAGTAGAGTCGGGTACCCTAAATAGGAGTAGAGCTAAGGTGAATCCCAGGTAACAGAATAAATCCCTATGAGTCAATACTAGGAAGAGCTAACTCAGTAATTTCTCAATAAAAATTACATGTGGTTAGAAATAAATTCTGCCAGGAATTTAAACATGGCAATACCAGGAAAATGTCTTATATTACTAATCTTTATGAGCCTTAGCCTTAAATGATTATACAAACTACAACTGTCTTGAAGTATCAAGACAAAGATAAAATAAATAATTTAAAAAAATATTCATAGATCATTTTTATGAGCATGTTTTTTAATTTTAATTTTTTATTAAGTTATTATTGATATACACTCTTATGAAGGTTTCACATGAAAAAATCAATGTGGCTACTACATTTACCCATATTATCAAGTCCCCACCCATACCCCAAATGCAGTCACTGTCCATCAGTGTAGTAAGATGCCATAGATTCATTATTTGCCTTTTATGAGCATGTATTTCTGAGCTAATTTGGATTCAATTTGTAAGTCAACCTTGAGATTTACGCCCTTTTACTGCTGATTTCATAATGTGTAGGTATCCATTAAATTTTCACAACTAACAAAATAAGTCTCAATTTTCAGAAACATCAAAGACCTTAATCTTGGTTTAAATCACTGGTGCAAGCTGACATCCATGGCAGGTCTTAAGTGTGCCTTAACTACTCAATTCAGTCTTTGTCAGATACAGGAACCATTTCAGTTTTCTGATATTTAATGGTTGGGCATTTAATCCCAGAGAAAAATTTTATTTTCTGGACAGAAATATTCAGAGCAGCTTTATCTGTTAATAGTGAAATGCCACAGACAATCCAAGTGTCCTTTAACAAACAAATGGTTGAACAACTATGGTACATCCATGCTATTAAGCATTAAGAAGGAATGAACTATCGGTACATGCAATAACCTGGGGGGTCTACAAGGACACATGCTTAGATCTTAGGAACAACCCAGATGTACATACAGGATTATCAATTAAATACACAAGGATCAGATATATGTGTGTGTGCTGATATGGCAGGGCGTTCATGGTACAGTGTTGAAGACAAAATATGCAACATATATAAGAAAGCAAGCCACAGAATATGTATGGTATGATTCCATTTTTGTGTTTTATAAAAAGGGAGTAACAAGTGTGAGTGTGGGCATGTACATAATTATAAAAGTAAATTAGGAAGATAAATGCCAAACATTGCATATCTATGGGGAATAATTTGAAGGAAAGATTTTCTCTCTTTTTACTTGTTTTAGGTTTAATTACTTTCATAATAAAAAGAAAAAAGACCACTGCAGCTTTGAACTTTTCATGGCATGTTTGCAATACACTTCAGATCTACACAGAGGTAGACACAGGAGGTGCTAAGTGTAACGAGAAAAATGTTTAGAAGTCTCAGGAGATGGCTTGCATCCCTTTTCTGGGAAATTATGTGATCTTCACCAAGTCAAAACCTCTGTAAGCTGCAGTGCTTCAACTATGAAATTGGAACAATAGTGGACTGTGATGAAGCACAACTGAGTTACACATGTGAAGACATCAAATGTACAGTGATATCTCTAAAATTTCTACCAACAAGAGTGTTTTAATTATACCATCGCAAATCCTATCCCATACATAATCGTTATTAGCTCTTTGGATATCAGAGAGCTTTGAGATAACTGAAGAGGTTAAGATTTCTGAAGACAAAGCATTTATGTATAATTACTTTTGTCCAGAGCCATGCTTGAATCCTAGAACGGAACCACTGTCATCAAAGTCTGAATCTGGGTTTTCATCAATGTCCAGTTCATGACTAAACAAATAAACAAAAGGTAAATAGTAGTAAGTCATTACTTGCAGAGCCCACCAGCTCAGGCAAATATAAAAAGATACACGTAGTCAATCTATGCAAATTTCCCCACCACAACCATCAACTGCAGCTTACAAATCTAGGAAGACAGAAGAGTACTTTAATCAGGATTTTCCAAATGAGAGAAAGTACCTACCAGTGTTTGGAACATAGCACTAAGCACTCAATTGTTAAACCATGTCAAGTAGTTATCTCTATTTCTGAACATATACAAATATAGATCTCTCCATCCTCCTTTGGAAAAACACCAGTAAAAGTGTAGGATCATCCTAGATAACCCAGGATCATCCATCTATTAGGGATGCGTTCCAGTGCTCCCTACACCCTGGGCAATAGGACCAAGTGAAGAAAAATGGTGAGAAATAATTCTTACAAATTAAGTTAAGGTCACTGTACCCACTAGGTCCCAGGAAGCATACACATAGTCACTGCCTCTGGGAACTAATGGAGGAGTTAACAAGCAATGTCTACCACGCAGAAGGAACACAGTTATGGACATACTTCTAAGTACTGAGTTACTGTGCCTCCAAAACTTGATTATTGTTTCTCTAAAAGCTGTATGGAGCATGAAGGTGTTATGCAGAGCACTTCATTTCCTGTCAGAGAAGTAAAATGCTTTCAGCTAATACCCAAGTTCTGTAATGTCCATCCTTTCCTTGTATTTCACAGCATTAACATTTGACCATATATCCTACCTTCCACTATTCTCTACGTGTTTGATTATGTACATCACTGCCTCCAGAAGAGTTGGTCTTTAGCCTGAGAGCTGGCATTGTTGCTATGTAACTCTGAGCAACGTGCTTATTTTTGTCTTGTCTTAGTATTTCTATTTGTAGAATGAAAGCATTGGACTGGATATTGGAGGTCTATTTTAGCAATAAAATTCTGTGTAATATATACTAAGACTTTTGGGGAAAAAAAATCAGGACTTCCTCCAGAGAGACCATATCTACTTATATATTATTAGTTAAAAGCTATCATCCATTGATAGCTACTGTCAGATGTATTACATGCTAGGTTCCAGCCCTCCCAGTAAGCTCACAAAGAGGTAACATGGAACTTGCCTCCTTTTGAGTTTGCTTGGCTTATGTTCAGGTGGATCTTCTTCACTCTCATCTCCATCAATACCGTTGGGATGTACTCTTTCTTTGACTGTGTTTGCTTCTGAAGACTCCTGTGAATCTGAAGAGGCAGAGATATTACAGTGGTTTTTTCCCCCATGGTTAGACAACTCTTCTGCCATTTACAAAGGCAATCAAAACATTTCAGTGCCTTTTCTACAAACTGTATGTGCATGACAGGCATAGTGCTAGACCACATCTATCTATTCTGTATATCTATATGCAGAGACTGAGCATAAAAAAATGTAGCTATGTCCATTAAAGTTTAGAAGTTTCCACGATCTAACTATTTAAAAAGCAAACTAGAACTATTTATCCTCACAGCTGTCCAAATCTATATAAATTAATATATGAAGTTACCTTTTTGATAGCTGTCAGCTATCACATTTTGATGGAATTTTAATCTAAATGACTATAAAGACAGCATGATCACATTGATTTAAAATTGATTGCTCTCTATGAAGAAGCAAACACAGTTAACTGTGTCTAATACAGCTGTTAAATTCATAGTGGAAGTTAACAGAAAGATAAACACCACCTTTTTTAAAAAAGCATATTTTTAACATGTGGTGCTTTCAACTGAGGCATATGTCTGTCTTTGTTCCTTTTCTTCAAACTAGAACCAAGTGGGTAGGTGGGACTACAAGTGGAGAGGTGCCTGCAGTGTAGGCAGTGGGAAGCTCTGACTGTGTGGGGGCAGAATGCTTCAGGAGACCACCCAGTATAAAGTATGCTTACACAGAAATGCAATATATACCTTCTGTTTTCATCTCAAGGGAGGATGTGAAAGAAATCAAAATCTAGAATTCTCAAGTTGATCCCAATGGCAGTCACACTGGAGCTAATTATAGAAACAGCTAATTATATACATAAGTAAGAGAACAGACAACAGAAACATTCAGCCTATACATGTGACTTGGGAAACAGGCCACAGAAGGCAGACTGTGAGGTTTACAGCATTTGACAAAGGAAAAAACTGGAAGACAAGGGAAGATAATCAAAGGAAATAACATGAAGTAGTAAGATAGGGACCAATACATTGACCAATATATATATTTCATGGCCAAAATAAGTACAAAAGTAATCGGGAGGGTATAAAAGAGTACCAAAAGACTAATATAAAATAATCACAGAAAGGTAAAAGGATGAAAATAACACCAAAATAGAAAGGCAGAATACTGTACTAAAGTAAGCTCCACTGTAAGAGACCACAGAAAAGAGAAATAAGAAAGTAAAGAGGGCTCTTTAGTAACTTTCTAAAGGAAACTCTCAACTGCAATCTGCGAAAAGCAAAGCAAACCCCAACATTAAGCAAAAAGCCCAGACCTTCTGTTTCATACAGGAACAAAGCTGAGAAACAGAGTCCTTATAAACAAGACTTTTCTAGCACCAAACATCAAGGATGCAAAGACAACATCTTATTAGTGGGCTTCAGGAAATTCCCAAGTTATCAATACTTCCTCCTCCCCCCTTTTCCTGGGGGCCATCAGTTGGAGAACCCTTCTCCCTGGCAAGAACATGCTTACACACTCCACTCTAACTTCTCTTAACGCGCCTCTGACTTTCAGCTAATACCCAAGTTCTGTAATGTCCACACCTGGTTTCTTTAGCCCTGAGGGTGGCACCAGTGTGCACGATGAGGGTTTTTTTAAAATATCACTTAGGCATGAGTCAATTCTTTTCCTATTCTGGATATTTTATGAGAATCCTGAAATCAACCCTCCCAGTTATAAATTAATATCATGCCCTGTTGAGATTCTCTACAGAGCAAGACATCATTTATCCCTAATGAATTTCAGATATGACTCAAAATCAGACCTGCCTAATGTCAAACATGTAGTATGGACGTCTCTCTAGCATGACTCCTATAAACTCTGCTCTGAAGAAACTAGCAAGTCCCAAACTCACTGTAAATTAGATTTCTTGAGGGATATCCAAGTTTTAATTCACTGGCCACCAAGGTACAAGAGGAAGGAATGTGATACTTTTGAGAAAGGGTAACAAGCAACTTGTGATATAAAAGTAAGATGGATCATTTCATTATACCACCATAAAGGATTAGTGTTATCTTGTTATTAAACAGATTCATTTTCCTAACCATTACTTAGTAGGGTAAGTCTTGGCCAGTCTTACCCTGAGCTGGTTGGTTTGTGCTGCTATTCCCAGATGAGGTACTTTCCTTGGCTCCTCCATTACATGGTTCTCCTTGGCCAGAAGCAGGGCATTCTTTTCTGCTGTTAACTTCACTTAGCCACTGATGCCCATCACAGCTCACAGAGGAATCCAACTGGCTCTGTTCTATGGCCTCTGAATTCAGACTTACGTTACTAATTCCATCAAGTATTTCATTATGCTCTTTATCACTTGAACTACAGCTTTCACTATCAACTGTAACAGATGGGGATGGGAAAGAAATTAAGTCTGCTTTCACACAACTTTCATCATTCTCACTGTCAACTTCTACTTTAGACCCACAAGTATCTGTATCACAGGTTTGTGAGGCATCAAAAGTCCAACCCTGAGCTTCCCAATAGTGGAACTGTTCCAAATAATACCAATAAAGTTGGCTATAGTGTTGTTCCCATTCTTCCTTTGTATCAGGAATGTTCCAAGGTTCAGAACATAGAGTTTGATCTGAATGTTTTTCTTGCCAGCTTTGCCACAGCAGTCCTCCACCATATTCATTCCAATACTCTTCCCATTTCTTCGTAATTTCTAGCTTTGGAGATAATGTATTTTCAGCAGGAAGATTTTCAGTTTCAGTGTCTCTTTTGGTTTGAGGGTTACACGTTCTGGTGTTCTCACACTGGCCAACTGAAGATGGATCATCGGAAGCCAGAAAGTCATCCTCTTCATATTCTGGTCTCCAAGATTCTCTCATAATTTCATCTAAGTACTTCTTTTGAAGTTTTTTATTTTTCTTTTTTATTTTAACTTTATTTCTACTATTCATAGACACCTAGATAAAATAACAAATATAAAATGTATTTCATCAACTGTAAGACAAAATAGAATCCAAGTCTTTTTTGATGTCAAATGAAACAAAACACACTCAAACTCCCACCCTGGGCTTTCAGTTATAAAAACAAGGGGATATTACTATCTAAATTTCCAAAAGCAGGAACAATCACACCTGGGACACATCATAACTTGTAGTGTTGGTTAATTTATAAATACACACATTTAAGATGAGTGGTATACTCTAATTTATGAATGTATTAGATTTCGGATAGAAAAATTCCATGTGGTATTGAAGAAAACTAAGAAACAAAATAAAAGTAAACCAATACCTCAAAATTCTTATGTGCAGATACCCCACCAAACTGAAGTGGCAGTCCCATGCTTCTCATGAGCTCAGCCTCAGAATCAAGTTCACTTTCATCTAGGTCCATGCCTTTGCTGTCATGTGACTCTGTAGTGCCCTGGGAGTAGCCATCTTCCTCTTCTTCTGTAGCATGGTCTCCTACAGATAGCATTTGTTAGTTTTAGAGAAAATTTAAACACAGGTTTTATCAACCTTAGACCCAGATTAATGCAAATGGTTTAATTGTTAAGTGGAGAAAGAAAAGGAACCGATGACAATATGGACCAGTAAAAAAACAGCCAACTAAGAATCAAGAGACAATTCCTGGTCTGGCTTTGCCTGCCACTATTCATCCAGCTGCCCAATCAACTTGTGTTTACTGAGCATTTCCTCTGTGCTGGATATAAGAAGGAACCTGGTAGGGTAACCACAGGGGAAATACTTCCATTCATATTCTTTTTCTGCAGTATTACCAAACTAAATCAATGGACTTAAAATAATGATTTGTGAAGTCATTTTAGGAGCTGGTAGGAGAGGTGAGAGGTACGTCTTTGGGCCCCTCATGGGTACTGCAATCACAATTGGGATTTACATCCTGGGACTCTGTAGGAAAGTAGATCTAATAAAAGCATTCTGTTATTAGAAGTCTGAAATCCACTGAACTGACTGATCCTTTCAAGCCCTCTAATTCTAGGTCTTATTGAACCTGCTTTGTTAAAACAAGTGTTACTTTATCTTAATATGGTTACAAAAAGTAGGTCATACCACTAACTGGACAAATGCCATTCAAATACTCTATTAAGAATTTTAAATGTGAGATAAAAATCACTTTCTATTATTAGCATACTCAATTAGGTCTGAGCTGCACTCCAGCTAAATGATCTAAGGTAATAGACAGTAAATTTCACATAGCAAACATGGAGACTGAAAAAAAGAAATCTTGTGTGGACACATTCTACTAAAACAAAGGGGGAAAAAAGGCATTTAAGTAAGGAAGGGGATTCCACTCACCATTCCAGTGAATGAACTTACGAAAGCTCAGGAGAGAGCAAACTAGGGACAATGAATCAGCTAAGAGTTATGCTCCTTTCATGGTATATGTATTTCTTACGTTCAGTGGGAGCCTAGTGTCTAAAGTAACCTTATTTGTGCAGCATTACACTGAAACGCAAACTCAACATTTCATCTAGTGTTTAATTGAAGAAATAGTGATTGCTCCATCATTGCGAGAGTTAAAGGATTTTCAAGGGTAACATGACACATTTTACTTGTGCTGATTTTAGCCTATTAATTCATGCTGCCATTTCCTGTGTCTAGAGAAACATAAAAGATCTGTGTGAAAAGAACAAATGGAGTCATGATAGGAAAATCTAAGAGAGCTCAAGATGGTTTTTAGGTAACTAGGTGAAGCTCACAGTATAGAACAAATTCTATTTATTATTTGGGAAAGTTAGCCCAGATGGCAGCCTCTTTACTTTAGGCAAAAGACTGTGGACGTTCACTTGGAATTCATCCTGAATAATTTATCTGTACAAAAGTATTTAAACAAGGAGGCCATTAAGACAGGTGGCTCTGCCTTGGTAGCTGATGTAAGCAAACCAAAATCTAGGCCAGAGTCAAAGCACTTGTATCTAAGAAAAAGAAACTTAAAAGCCACCAATCACGCACAGCCAACTATGCTTTCCACTGCTTAAGCTATAACAAATTCAATCACTTCCCAGCATGGCGCCTGCATCTTCTCTATAAAACCCTTCCTCTGGCTCCTGTCATGCAGCGTTCCTAACCACCTTTGGTTTGGTGCTGCCCAGTCTTCATAGATGTATGCACAAATAAACTTGAAAATTTTTAATGTGCCTCAGTTTAACTTTTAACACAATAAAATTCTGCTAAAAAATATATGTTCTCTACTTCCCAAAGCTTCAAATTTTGGGTTGCTCTCATCCAATGGTGACAACTCAGGAGGAAATGCTACAGGGAAAAAGAGGCTACCTTAGGTCCACACAGGAACCAGCTACAGGGAAAGAAGAGATGCTTTGATAGAGGCTATAAAGCCACATTATAATAAACAATAAGGACTATCTACAAGAACAGAATATTTGTCAATTTTAATTTTTATGCTAACAAATCAATACAGTATTATAACAAGTTAATACATATTAACAAGTTAATAATATTATAACAACTTAATACACCATTATGGTTAGTTTGAGCAAAAAAGGGCTATAGAGTTTTATACTGTATTACCTGCATTGCTGCCACTGTCTTTGACAAAGTAGCCTTTTAATCCTAAATTGCATAATTTTCGATCTCTGTGAAGCAAATTAAACAGTCAATATTGAAGTAAACTCAATTATAAATTCAGAAAGAAAATAAAACAGGTTCAAGGCAGCATAGATTAGTTAATAAAAAGTTAAAGAACAGAAAACCAATCTGCTACTATATTTTTCTCATCTGGAATATGGAGGTAGTAATACATATTTTATGGGGTTGTTACAAAGGGTGCCAGTTTATGTAAAATATTTAGTACATACAACATGGCAAGCATTTACAACCACTAATTATTAAAACTGAGTGGTAGTTCTGGATACTGGGGGAAGAATTCAATCCTCCTTGTGATATATAAACAATGAAGGTGTTCCCTAAATTTACTGTAAGAAGTGAGCATAGAAATGGAAAGATTTATCTTATACATATATAAATCCACATGCAGACACAAGTCTGTTTGCAAATAGAACAAATTAGCCATTGCCTAGTAGACAAGACATTCATGGTCCAGGCAAAGGCTGTTTTGGGGAGTACCATACAACAAAGTTCTTATTCAAATATTTTATCACGTTGAAACATAAGACAAAACAATCCAGTCTCATGATTTTTAAAAACAGTGAATGGTTAAACCTTTCTTTACATATGTACTTCTAAATTTTTCTCTATTTACTAAGATTGGAAATCATATAACCAAAATAAACTTAACAGACCACTTGAAAAGGGAGGAAATGTTGCTATTATTATCTTTCTACCAGTAAATTCAGCTGTAATAAACTCCATCATAACTGCCATAATAAGGCCGTCTTCAAGTAATAGCTAATACTACTTTTCTAATGGACCTACCTATAATAAATTCAACAAAATGAAATTCTTGTGTGCTTAATATATTTTTTGACACTTTATAAAATATAAAGTGACTCCCAGCAGGGCAGTACATGGCAGAGGGGATGAAGTGCAAGTGTGCTTTGGTAGCATGCCCACCGGCCCCCAAGGCATGGGATGGTGGAAGGGGCCAGGGCAGCAGGGAGAGCAGCAGCTGCAGAGGCATCAATCATGTGCCGTCAGCACCCAAGGACAAGGGCACTAAGCTGTCGGGTGGAGGAGAGGGCAGATATGGTTGCAAGACTGGTCATGTGTATGGAGGATAATGATAGCCAAGAGGCTCCTACACATATTTATGTGTGTATGTAAAATACGCATATATACTGCCTAATGTTGTCTGCCAAGAGAGTGCAGAAAGATGACATTCCAGGAGCAGTGAGCATAATGAGCACCTAGGTCTTGGTTTATGCATAGTATTCTACACTAAAAGGAACCAAGGTGCCTTGGAGAAATGGCAATTTCAAGCTGAAGCATAGACTATAAAAGATAAACTAGGATCATCTTATTATGTTGGTTTGGAAGAGTTCAAAGAATGCCAGTGACACAGCAAAAGGATACAGGAGATACTCAAGGGACCTCCACCAGCCAAAACTGAGACAGTTGAATACCAAACAAATAACAATAAAAATGGAATATAACCCATTAATAAACTAACAGTTTAGAGCCCATGTTAATATAAATAAAGGAAAAAACAAACACATGAGAGAGAAGGGAAAGTGCTCATATAGAATGCAAAGTAATAAAAACAGAAGCGAAGGCAGTATAGCACAGAGAAGACAAGTAGTGACTCTATAGCATCTTACTATGCTGATGGACAGTGACTGTAATGGGGTATGTGGTGGGGACTTGATAATGGGGGGAATCTAGTAACCACAGTGTTGCTCATGTGATTGTATATTAATGATACCAAAAACCCAAAACAAAACAGAAGCTATGAGGGAAACAGAATCATTCTTTAGCAACCTTCAGAGGTAGCTGACTCAGACATGAACATGTGTCATGTTGGAATATCTGCTGATAAAATACTAATTCATAGAAAGGGAACCACTGTGATTTTACAGTGGAGGAACCTGGGAAACAGCAACATTAGGAGATGGAGGTCAAAGCCACAGTGGTGGCATGGGTCTATAGAAAGCGACTTCCGAAGGGACGCACAGCCAAGCATAGGACCCTTTCTGTAGCATTCCTGCCAAGAAGGCATGGCCCAGTTCTGTGCCTATGGAAATGTCAAACAGACCCAGGTTAAGTAAGGTTATCCTACAGAAAGTAAAGTCTGTAGTTTTTAAACTGCTGAGGGCATGAAAGGAAGGGAAGAGTAAAGAATTTGTCCAGATTGGAGAATAATGGCAAGACAAGTAAATATAACATGTGGAACTACGTGGAACGCTCCATCAGAAAGGAAAGAGAAACAGTTGAGAAAGTTGGGGAAATTTGAATCGACTACAATGGTTATGTAAAAGAATATCCTTCTTTTGGTAAAATACACAGTGGAGATTAAGGAATGATGGAGAATCTCTTGGTCTTAAATGGCTCAGAAAAAGACTAATGATTATCTGTGTGTACATGCATGTATGTGTATGGAAAGGGAGAGATGAAGCAAATGTAGTTAATCGTTCACACTTGGTAAACTTGGGTGAGGGGAATATGGGATTTCCCTGAACTGTTTTTTTGTAAGTTTTAAATTATTTCCAAATGAATTACCTAAAAAATAACTAAGTAATTAAAGCCTATTATTTATAGCACAAGCAAATTTATAACAAAAATCTACCACTCCATCATTTCTGCATTTTCCTATCTATGTTCTATTCCAGGCTTTGCATATAAATACACAAAATTTTTACATAATTGTAATCAGAGTAGGTATTTTATATTTAGGTATGTTAAGTAATACAAGGTATCTTTTCATGTTACTGCACAGCCACTGTAATGATTGTTTTTAAGAGTTCCGTAACATTGCAATTCTGTCTTCTTCATACGGATAACTTACAGAAACTTAAGTGTGTGGAGAAAATAGGATTACTACTCTAATTACAGAGTTCATAAGACGTTATGTTAATATACTATCCTCAGAAAATAAAAATCAGTTACACTATTGTGTTTTACTTTGTGCCCTTGAGGGGAGGTATACAAATAATCCTACTTAGTATGAGAATCAACTCAATTACTGAGAAGTTGTTTGGCACCTATGCTAATGCTTACTTTCTATGTTTTCTGCTATATGGTACTAATTTTTCAGTTTAATAATTTATTCTAGAATTCTGCTGACAATCAAATCTGTTGTTTTAAGAGTCTGGGACAGACCTTTTCCTGCCTGCAAAGTCAGAATTACACTTACAAACTCTGAACTTCACCCTGTCTCCCACTCCCAAGTACTTAGCCATGACTACTGACAACAATTTCAAGATCTTATCTCCAAGTTATTTTTGTTCTAAGGGGTTCTAATTTGTCTGAACATTAAGTGATCTGAAGGAAAAAACCATTCTTTTCTCCTTACCAATACTGAACTCAGAATGTAGCTTCTAAAAGTAAAGTAGAGCTTCTCAGTTTTAAGAATATGTATGAAATTATCCATAATGGAATAAATGCATGTTTAAGTTCAAAAAGACTAAATTCAAAGTAATAGATTTTTATGCTAATTAAGTTGTGCTTTAAATAAAGTCACTTTAATTGAAGTACAGTCATATGTTGCTTTCTACAGGTATTGCATGAGGATTTCTCTCAACTCATTTTATTTTATAACTTACATTCCTTGCTCTTCTTTTTTGGAAAGGAGGCTTCATGAAGACAGCACCAAGACTCGACTGGGCTGCAGGCTAAGAATTAAGTGTGTGGCCTTGGTTGGTACCATATGCGAGAGGACTCTCTTTTCTTGGTCTGCACCTCCAACACACAGACAGGTAATCTTTTCTAGTAAGCTCCACAGCCCCCATCACAGTTCCAGCCTGCATGCCTTCTGGGGACTAGGTAGCTTAACAGGTCATGCCAGGTCCTGAGAAAGGAGCAGAGAGACCCTTCTTCATGGATGAGAGGTGAAACTGGTGTCCAAGGTTATTACTAGTATGTACCAAGGCTATGGAGAATGAGGTAGAAAGATTAGCAAAGCAGAGAGAATGCCAGCTTTTAAACTTTTATGGAAACTGTTTCCTGCTTAGGCAACTTTCAAGTACCTCTAAGAGCATTCATCACTGGGAAAGATGTATTTCTGATGCCTGGTATTCAAATTTCCTGTTATACTTGTTAAGTGTTTTCTATAAAGCACCTGCTCTATCAACTAAATCCACAGAGTATGGTGATTCTGGATGAGTACCTGAACGTGGCATACTGCAAGGACTAAATAAACCTTAACTGCTGAGTTAAATTGCAAAGTGGAGACCAGGCCTGGATTGTAGTAACCCCCTAAGAGCCCTGACTGAGCAGTTCATCATCATCTCTTGAATACAACAATTATCACTACCATGCCAAAGTCATCCTTTTATCACAGTACCTGACACATGGGTGGGCAAAATACATGCTGAAGTAATGATTCTCAGAAATTTCTGAAGTACTAGAAGCAATTTCTCTACTGAAAACAGTAGAGAACAGTTAATTAGTTTCAAACAGTAAAAGGGAAAAGAGGTCCTTTCTGAGAGTGCTGCAATGGGCTCCCAGAAATACTATGTGACTTGCCCAAGGCCATACAGCTAAGTTTTGGTAGAGGTGAGGTGTAAACAGATAGATACTCTGTGTCTAAGGCTGGTGCTCTTAATTTACAGCTCAGGAACTTGTGGGGAAAAACTCAACAAATGACTTTGTTGTGCTGTATACAGAATACTAGAGATCACTACCAGACACTGTCACATGGGTCTGATCAGAGGTAAATACAGGCTCTTTAGTTTCCAGGATCTATCTCAACTAGAATATATATGTGAAAGTATCACAGGTCACCATCTGTTCTAATGGCTTTAGATGTCTTTAATATCTTAATCAGGAAGAATCAATAAGATCACATGTTCTAGACTAACAAGAGGACAGTAGAACAGCTTTGGAGTCACACAGACCTGGGGTTAGTGTATTCACCTAACTGGCTGTGTGATTTTTTTAAGACCAATAACTAAGACCTGGTTTTCTGCCTGGATAAATTCAGTAAGGGTAATAAGACATACCTAAGGGGGCTGCTGGGATGCCTAAATGGAAAAAAAAAGTAAAAAAGTCAGTGCCTGACACTGAGTGAGTCATCAGTTTGGTAGATAAAAAAGATTTTTTTTTTGCCAATTCTAGTGGATATTTTTAGTTCTCATTTGCTTGATACTACAGCAGCTTTCCAATGTAACTCCTTCAAAAGTTTGGTGACAGCATACTTGAGCTTGCCTTCTACCTTTCTCAGTTAATCCATGTCTCCTCCTCTTTTCATCTTTAAAATGTTGGAAATCCTCAAGGATGGATCCCACCTCCATAACCCTCCCCAAGCATGGCTTTCAATTACTGTTTGCACTAGAATGCCTCAAGTTTTTAAGATAGCACAGACATCTCCAAAGCTCCAAACCAATGTATCCAACTACCTGTAACATCTATCCTGGGACATTTCTTAGGTACTTCAAAATCAGGATGTCCAAAATTGACTGTCTTCTCACTGCTGTCCCAAAATAAAAACCCATGAGTCTTCTGAGGTCTCTATTTCAGTGAAAAGCATCAGAACAAGCCAGAAAACAGTGAGTTATGCTTGACCTAGTCTCCTCCTTCCCTTGATTTTTCATTCAGTTTACATCAGTTTCTCTGATATTTTCTCCTTCCTTCATTTCCACTGCCACCAATCCTAATCAACCACACCATATTCTATTATGGGGAAAATGGTTTTAAGTGGTTCTCCTCCAAACCATCTCCATGTTGCTGCTACAGTGTAACATTTAAACTGCAAATCTGAGCCTGGCTTCTACAAAGTCCTGCATGTTTTGACCCTGCCTACCTCACCAATCCTATCTGCTATCTTTCTTTCTCGGTCATTTTGTTTCAGGCTTTGGTTTGCTCCCTGAAGGGGTTTACACAGAGTTCTGTTCCCTGGGAATGCTTCCTCCTACTCAAACATACCCCAGTTTATTTCCACTCACTATCCTAAAACCTCTTTTCAAATGTTACTTCCTCAAAGAAATCTCTGGGATTTCAGGTTAGGTTTTTGTTATCACAGCATCCTGTACTTCCCTCCTATAGCACTTACAAGTATAATTAACAAAATAATTATGTAAGTCATCTTAATATTGACATCCTTTGCTGAAAAAGTAAATGCAAAGTGGGTAGGGACCGCCTGTGTCTTGCACCCAGTGCCTACCAACAGGCCTAATACAAGAGCACAAATAGCATTCCTTGAAAGAACACATGAATACAAACACAATGCTTTTTACATTAAATTTAACGTAGTCTTAAATTTCTTTTCCTATATTCCATGAAAACACACGATTAGTAAGAATTCCTCCAAACTTAAAACTCTACTGCATTAAATTACATTCAAATTCTAGCACATAAAATTCACTTCCACAAGTTGAATCTTACAATGAGCTTGTGAGAGGATTAGGGTAAATACACCTGTTTTAGAGATGAAGATTCAAGGGGCTTATTACTTCACACACATATTAAAAAATAAGCCATCCGTAGAATCTAATTCTTCAGTTTTTTCCTACTCCTCAGCTACCTTCCCATGCAGAGCAATTGCTACCGGAAACAAGTATTTTCCAAAAATACAGACAGCTCAAAAACTGCTATAATGAGTTAAATGTTTTATCTAAGGTAATTATAAGTTCCATTTATGTGCATTTACACTTTAGCACATCTTAAGGTTTTAAAAAAGATGTTAGCCCCAAAAAGTTACTCAAATTTAAACCGTCATCTTGTGACATCATATCCATTACCGATTTCCTTTTTAAGGTTCACTTTCCCCAATTTTAAAATGTCCCCTCAACTTAAAAATGAAATGACATACAATAGCTACCACGTTTTTTCCTAACAATCTACAAAGCTGTTTACTCCTTCACTTAGTGGCAGTAGGCGACCGCTCCGTCAAGTCTAACGACTTGTTTTCCTTCTTACACATCACCTTGCCCCAGGGGCACATACTCTGGCCTTGGTTTCAGGGATCAATTGCAACTAGTTTGCAACGCCTCCATTTCTGGGAAATGATCGTGCTGGAAATGAAGAGGAACACGTCGGTACTTACTCCACAAATGCCCTGGAGCAGAGGCAGAGGATCTTACAATCCTCCTCCAGGTCCTCAATGAAGAGAAACATTTCGGCCACGCGGCTCCACTTCTCGCAGCACATTTTACCAACACGGAGGAGGAAGCCCTGCGGAAGCGGCACGAGCCCGGCCTCCGGCCTCGCCTCGGCTCCCGCGGACCGAAGGAAGGCCTCGGCCGCGCGCCTCGTGGGTGAGGAGTGAGGAACAAGCACGGAGCGGCTCGATCCGCGAGCAAGCTGCGGGGCCGCCGCCGGAAGTGCCTCCGGGCCGCCACAGGAAGGGGCTGGGCGAAGGGAGGTGTCACACTGAGCGCCGCCCGGGATACAGCCGCCTCTGGCTTGTGCTTTACAGGTTGCGCGGGGAAAACCGGCCGCTCAAATCTCTCCGCTTCCCTGGGTCGCTGAGCCACCGGAGAGCTCCCGCCGCTTGCGGGAGAGGACGAGCCGCGCCTGCCGCCTCCCGCCCGAGGTGCGTCGGCCCCGCTGGGCCTCCGCGCGCTCTTCCCCGCCCGATGCCGGGCGGCGCGTCAGTCTCGCGGGGCTAGGAGCGGCCGTGGCCGCGCGTCCATTCTCCTGGGGCCGCTCGGGAGCTGCCGGCCCGGACGGGCATGTTCTGCTCCCCGCAGGACTCGGGGTTTGGTCCAGGCACCGGAGCGGCAGGGAGGGGAGGCCCTTCTGGGTCACAAAGATCCTATTCACCTCGCCCTGCATCTCCCTCGCGCTCAAAACCTCCAGTTGGGCTTGTTTCCTCTCAATTTAGGTGGTGGGCGAGGTGACTCCAGACTCACTAGAGGCCTCTTGTCTTGCCGAGAGATCTGATTCCGGCATCTGAATTGAGCCTACCTTGTATAAAAGCTAAAGGAAATGACGTGATTATCACGAGAGTGTACTTGAGAGGCTACATGAGTGGTGACAGAGGGATCGCGCGTCCAGACCCATCAAGACTCCTGGTTTGTGCGCCTTTATTACCTGTGTGACCTGGGCGGGCGACTCACCTCTCCGAGCCTCTTGGTGATACTCTGTAGAATAGGGGTGATTCATAGTACCTGTTTCCTAGGGCTGTTGAAAGGACTAAGTGAAACTGTGTTACCAGACCTATCATGTATGCTACTACTAATAGTTTGGGTGGATGCATACTTTATATGCGTCGGGCACTGTCTCGTCGCTGGGGTTTGCCGCCTGCAAAACAGGTCTCTGTCTTCAAGCTGCTGATTAATAAGAAAAATATTCTTGCACATAACCAGGGCGTCTAAAACTGCAACATCACTGCTAGATTTGAAAGAAAGCAGTCAGTATTTAATGTGGTATGCGTTGATACTGCCCAAGCAGCTTCTACAAAGAAGCACTTTCAGACTTCAAGGCTGTTGGAGCACTCAGGGCTTGGTTTCTGCTATTAAGACCAGAATGCCATTGATATTTCTTTAAAATATATAAAAACTGAGGCAAAATCCAGACGTATAGAACAGTCATTAAAATAATTTGATCGTGTTTACTGTGAATGGAAATAAAAGATTAATTTTCAAACGAAATGCTTATTCCCACATCCTTGTGCCTTGCTCTGATGTCAGAGATGCCCATTTAATGACTCAAGAAGGTAAAGAGCTGCACAGTTGTAGATACACCAGGATAGATGTGCAACATTTTTGGAATGAGATTAGGTTCAGAAAATAAGGGAAGAATAGTGATTATCAAACGGGGGAAGATTTTAGCTAGATGTTGACATTCTAGAATTAAAAAAAAAAACAACTTTGAAAGGTAATTCATATCAGAACCTAGAGTTTGAAGCTTGAAATCTAAAAGGTATTGTTTAAAGATAAAATAATAGGTTTAGCCAGATACTTTACTTGAAATTTAGATAAACTTCAATTTTATTTATTGATTATTTATTGATCACTTAAAAGTGAGTACTAAACCCTGTTGAACCATTATAAAATATGTGGAAAGGAAAAAGGGAAAGTTAATTTATATTTCCGTGAGTATTTTAATTGGCAGTTTCAGCATGTCTCCACTGTGGCTCATACTGAAAGTAAGAAATGGGTCTGTTACTACATGGTTCTAAAAGTACTGGTAATGTGTGTTTAAAAATAGGTTCATTTCCTAAAGGTTTTGTAGAGAACAAACAAAACAGAAATCCTCTGTTCTCTATTAGTTTTTGAGATATTCTAATTTTCGACATCTACAAAGTCATTTATAGTGTTTCTCATTATCAATATCAACATGGTGATATTTTAACATGTCAACTGCCTAGGACGGTGTTTTATTGTAGATTTTTTTTGATAGGAAATTACCTGGAATTTGATAACTTAAATATTATATCTCCCCAAAAACATCTTTTAACAGTTCAGTTTTTATTGGGCTAAAATAAAATGATAAGGAGTCAAGTACAACCTATGGCAAATGGGAGGGAGAGAAGGGCGAGGCAGATGTAGAGGAAAGACAAACTGCAATATTAATACTTTCAGCTTTTCTGTCAGAGAGAGAGAGAGAGAGATTAAAGAAAATGTAATGACAACCAGAATAGGAAGGAGAACCATATTTTAATTTTGGCTCTTACTTTTTCACTGAATTAATTTAGTAATGTTGGGCATGTCAGCTTGGCTGTGTTTAACTTTTGTTTTCTGCAAAATCAAGAGGTTGCATTCATTAAGTTCTAAAGCCATTTTCATATTTTAAAAAGTATTTTTATCAACTCAAAAGCTTGTTATTCAAACTCTAATAGTTTTTAATGACAAGTTTTGGGACACTTATTGGTTCACATTTTTGTCAAAGATTTGGGTGAGCACAGTTCAGACCTGTCTATATTTAGCTGATATTTGTTAGGTGCCAACTCTATGCCTATTTTTCAAAGTGCTTTACATGTTTTCTCATATAACCAGCCATGTATTTTGTTGACTCATACATCCCCTGTGTTTGGAATAGTGTGGAGCACAAACTACTTGCTCCATAAATATTTATGAAGTGGATTAATGACTCAATGATATAAGTCTTCTCTGGGCCATCCCCTTTTTTGTACCCTCTAGTCTGTCCCCACTGGCCTAGTCAAGGACAGGCCCCAACACTGTTCGGTCCTGCACCATCTGATTCTAATTCTGCATTGTTACTGCTGTCTGCCCACTTTTGACTGCTCTCCCTATCATTTTTCCTCAGCTGACCATGATGCTTCTCAGACCACACTAAGTGTACACCCTTTGTACTTCTTGTTCTTTTAGCCACAAATTCTATTCCAGATACCCACATGGTTTGCTTTCTCACTTCTTCAGGTTTCTGCTCAATTGTACCTTTTGGAAAGGCCCTCCCAGACTACCTGGTACCCGCCTCCCCCCTCACCTGCTATAGATTTCCATAATCCTCTTACCCTGCTGTATGTTTTTCTCTCTAGCACCTGTTATCATCTAACATAGTATGTATATTGTTATTCCAGTTTTACAGGTCTTAGCAAACTGAGACATAGGTAGGTTACTGTTTATGCCCCTCTCAATATCAGGTAACTGGAGTCAATCAAAGGAAGTTACCTGAGTGGTGAAAGGTTATGAAGCTAAAGTCTAATCTGAGGAGTGATTGTAAGAATCAAGGATTCTGACTAGCAAAGGCAATTGCTCAGCTTGTGATAGCCATCCTGAGACCTCAGACAGAGGTTGTCTAATGGAAGAGGTTCTATGTTATAGATCTAGGTCCAGTAGGGAAAAGTTACGGTGATGTAAGCATAAGGTGGAGATGGTTTTGAAGATGGAATGGGACACCTTTTGAGTTTTCTGTTCTCGAAGGGTTTAAATCAAAACCAAGGATGACCATCTGTGGAGGAGGTTCTTGCATGAAGCACTGGGGCACTGTTAAGGGACTAGATCTCATGAAGATTTCTGTCTAACCTCTCGCCCTGATGTCTGTCTGCACACTGTCCCTCTTCCCCTTACTGTTTGTTAAGTTTGTATAATAAATTAGAATGTGGTAGAGGATAAGAGGTAAAATTCTATTACCAGTTTGGTTGGGGGAGGTACTAATAAGGCTTTAAAATCCTAAGATTTTACAATCCTATTAAAAATAAAAAAATGAGACTAGATTATTGGGGCAGTGTATTAAGCATTAAGGATCAGATTACCAAAATGATTGGCTTTTAGGCCTAGGAAAAGTTCCTTTTAACATATTTGAGAGGCTATTATAAATTTTAATTTATTAATTATTTAAAAAGCTTTTTCTGTTGAGATATAATTCACCATAACATTCATTATTTCAAAATGTACAACTTAGTTGTTTTTAGTATCACAAGGTTGTACAACCACTGCTATGATTTAATTGTGGAACATTTTCATTGTCTCAAAAAGACACCTCCATTTTCCTTATCAGACGCCTCTCATTGTCCCCTTCCCCAGCTCTTGGCATCCACTAATCTTTCTGTTTCTATAGATTAGCCCATTCTGGTATTTCATATAAATGGAATCATACAAAATGTGGTCTTTAGTGTCTGACTTTTTAAATTTAGTATAATGTTTTCAAGGTTCTTATATATTTTGGCACAAACCAGTATTTCATTCCTTTGTATGGCTAAATAATTTTCTGTTGGATGGGTATAGCACATTTTGTTTATCCTTTCATCAGCTAATGGATATTTGGGTTGTTTCCACTTTTTGGCTATTATGAATAATGCTGCTGTCAAAATGTTTGTATACAAATGTTTGTGTGAATATATCTATTTTCAGTCCTCTGGGATATATACCTACGAGAGAAGTACTGGGTTAATAGTAACTCTGTGTTTAAGTTTTTAAGGAACTGTTAACTGATTTCCACAGTGGCTACACCATTTATATTCCCCCCAGCAGTGTATGAAGGTTCTGATTTCTCCAGATCATGACCAATACTTGTTTTCTTTTTTTTTTTTATTACAGCCATCCTAGTTGGGGAAGCTCTCATTTTAAAAAGTAGTAAGTTTGACATGTTGCATTCTAAATGATCAAACATTGATAAATTATGGCCTTAATGTGTGCTGTATTCATCTTTGGTTAACCATAACAGGCCCAGATTTCTCAAGATAAATGCTATTGGTTACAAGAAAATTAGACTGAATCCTCTGTCCTTGAGAACAAGTCAAAGTGCAGGCCTTGCTAATAGTTAGGAAGTTAATCTTGGTATAAAGACAACATATAATTGCTCTTAAATGTCTGTCTGTCTCTCTCTGTATCCTGTTCTTCCAATTATTCATTTCTTGCCTCACCCACAAGTATTTGAGATGGTTTTCAGAAAGATTATGTCCTATGGGGCAGTGATAAATTATCTCTTAGAATAAGAACTAGAGAAAACAAGAATGGAAGAAGGAAATCTTACATAGGAGAGCATGATCATAAGGGCTAACCTAATAGTATCATCGAATATCATTGACCTTCAGCTTATTATCTGGTAAAGTTACCAAGGAGAGACATGGTCAGTTATATATCAGAACTTCTTACTTTTCTATGAGGCAGCAGTTTTTTTATAGCTCTGAGTTTAAAAAAAGCTTTGGGGGGCTTTATACAGTGCAACTAAACTATAGAAGTGTCCTCACTTAAGCACTGGTAATGTGAATATAATTTTTAATTGTGATACACTCATGCAGAGCTGTAATATTTGTCAGATTTGTGCATATCTCACTATTTTATGGAAATTCTAACTCTGGATATTAATGATTACCTTCTTTTAATCATATTTTTCTTCCATTTGTATACTATATTTTCCAGAATACATACATTGAAGCTTGGGACAAGATATTTATTTAATTTCCGGTAAGTTAAGTGACTGGTTTATAAAGTGCAATAAAATAATTGTATGGCTTTACTTTTAGTAATTTAAGATTTAAGAGAAATTTTAGTGACTATAAGATACTGATAAATTTTAATTATTGCATGATGTCAAAAGAACAGAGAGGTTTTCTATAAATCTGCTTATATATAAGAGAATACCCCAAAATGTATATCATTTCCTAAAGAACTGGATTATTTTTATTGAATAAGATATTGATGTTTTCTTTTGTAAAGAACAGATATCTCAACAGAACCTAGTTTAAGATACAAATACTCAGTATGATCCATTTAAGATGTCAAATTATTAAGATCAATCTGAAATTTCATTCTTCATCAGCTTTGTTTTCCTTCTCAGTTATAGCTTTTGAGTTATTTCAAAAGCTAAACATGACATGCTTCATGAGCAAATGGTGTCTTATAATTTTCACATTGAATTCTGCAACAAAGTTAACCATTAATCTACTAATTTTTGGTATTAAGAAATGACTCTATATAGTACTTATGTAGACTAAAATATTTAATTTCTTAGCTATGAAGAGAATAACATTGGATTATTTTTCCCTTCTCTGATAGTGGCAAAATTAAAGACCTGCCATGACAATGAAGAAGGAGACAGAATTTGTCATTTTCACCTGAAGAAAGATGATAGACAAAAATCAAACCTGTGGTACAGGACAGGATTCTGTGCCCTACATGACTTGTCTGATTCACATACTTGAAGAATGGTTTGGTGTGGAGCAATTGGAGGACTATTTGAATTTTGCAAACTATCTCTTGTGGGTTTTTACACCACTGATACTTTTAATACTCCCTTACTTTACAATATTTCTTCTCTACCTTACTATTATTTTCTTACACATTTATAAGAGGAAGAATGTATTAAAAGAAGCCTATTCTCATAACTTATGGGATGGTGCAAGGAAGACAGTGGCAACTCTGTGGGATGGACATGCAGCAGTTTGGCATGGTAAGCAAGATTAATTTGATCTCTGTGTGTTGCTATTCTTGTGTCATCCCATTTTATTTATTGAGAAGATACTGAAAAATATAAAATGGAAGAGATATTTTTTATTACCTGCTAGCTATTTGAATGCATTGTGCATATATATGTCTTTCTTAAAAAAGATTTTTTATATACACATACTTTCCATAGAATCACACAGCAGTATAGATATTTACTATCAACTAAAATATAAAAATTTATTTTTAAGATACCTAAGAGAATAAAAGACTAAAACTATATAGAAACCTTTAAAAAAAATTCTTTAATTAAGACAATGTGGTACATACACACAATGGAATATTATTCAGCCATAAGAAGAAAACAAATCCTACCATTTGCAACAACATGGATGGAGCTAGAGGGTATTATGCTCAGTGAAATAAGCCAGGCAGAGAAAGATAAGTACCAAATGATTTCACTCATATGTGGAGTATAACAACAAAGCAAAAACTGAAGGAACAAAACAGCAGCAGACTCACAGAACCCAAGAATGCACTAAGAGTTACCAAAGGGAAAGGGTTTGGGGAGAGTGGGTGGGAAGGGAGGAATAAGAAGATTAAGGGGCATTATGATTAGCACACATAATATGGGGGGGGCATGTGGAAAGAAGTATCGCACAGAGAAGCTTACTATGCTGATGGACAGTGATACTAATTGGGTATATGGTTGGGACTTGATAGTAGGGGAAAAGTAGTAACCACAACGTTGCTCATGTGAAATCTGAGCATAAGATTGTGTATCAATGATACCTTAATAAAAAGAAAATACTTGAACAGTAAAAAAAAAAAATGCTTTAATTATTCAGCATTTACTTCCATTTTGTTCAGAATAAGTTTGACTTTCCTAGTGTAGATTTTTAGAAGTTAATAGTAAATAATATTAATAATATTAAATATACACAAAAATTTGCCCATTTTGTTTGATTTATTTCAGAAGTCACTATGTCTTATTGAATAAATGAATAGCAATAAGTTTCTCTCCAGCATATTCATTCTTTATTTGAGAGATTGTGTAGTCATACATTTAACAATTGGTGGTTCTTCTTTGTTCGGCCATCATGAAAATTGCCTTGGTGTTTTTCTTTACCAATTTTTGTCTTATATATTGATCTCTTTTGTGTTTGGATTATACAAAAATACAGAGGATTCAATAGGCATGTAACAGATATGTGCTTTCCATATCATGTTGCTGAGAATCAAAGAGGTTTCACAGCAAGACCGGGAAGTGCAGATTTTGAAATAGACCCTTGAGGTTATAGATCACCAGTGACATACTTATTAGGCTAATGTGTTACCATTTTAATGCTGTATATATTCTTACAAATCTTTTTTGAGCACTTACAGTGCCATACACTGTCAAATACTTAACATGCATTATTTTTAAACCCTATAACATAATAGATAGATTCCCTGTATTATCTGCATTTTACAGTTTTCCCATGAGGAAACTGAGAAACAGAGAGGTTGTTATTTGCCCAAGGCACGGTAGGAAGCTAGGAAGAAGAGCCAGGATACAACTTCAGATAGCAGGCTCTAAGGTCTGTGCTCCCTTGATGTGTGCGGTATGGTAAGTCTGTCCTAGGTTGGGGGTTCAGGGTCAAAAGTAATGGTAATCAGCAGGTTTGTAAACAGGAACTATATCTTTGATGTGCTGAATTTTTAATATTTATTTGTTAATACCAGTACTCTTGATAGTCAGTACAAGGCTTACAGCCTCTCATGGTTGTTTTACATGAGACTAGCTGATGCTCTGGCTTTCCACATGTATGTGCTGCATTGGGCACAGTGCTACTGTTCTGTGTACAGTGCTCTGTGTACAGTGCTATTGTTCATTGCCTTTAAAACAGTGATACAAAAATTCAGTGGCATCCTTTACAATACTGGTTGGGAATGTATATCTACCTATCAAATATGTACCACCTCTTTTTCAGTATAATATATATTGTAAGGAAGTTGAATTTGTTTATATTTTAGGAGACATAATTCAATTTGGATAAATTTAAGCATTAAACTTATTTTCTAGCAGAATATATAATTTTGAGGTATTTTTATTATTTATTTAAAAATATGCACTTATGGCTCAGTAAGTAAAGTATATGATTCTTTGCCTGTTTTAATGTTTTATTATGATAACAGTTTATTAGGATAAGTGATATTTTGCAAATGATTTTCTCTTATTCAGCCATAAAAACGGAAATCCTATCATTTGCAATAATGTGGACAGACCTTGAAAGCATTATGCTAAATGAAATAAGTCAGATAGAGAAAGACAAATACTATATAATCTCACTCATAAAATGGAATCTGAAAAAAACCCAAATATATAGAAAAAGAGACCAGACTGGTGATTGTCTGAGGCCAGGGCAAGGAGGTGGGGAGAAGGAAGATTAGAGGAAGGTGGTCAAAAGGTGCAGACTTCCAGTTATGAGGTAAATAAGTATCAGGGATGTAATGTACAAAATGATGATTATAGTTTTAACACTGCTGTATGAAATACAGGAACATTGTTGAGTACAAATCCTGAGTTCTTATCACAAGGAAAAAAAAATTTGTTCCTTTATTCTTTTCTTTCCTTTTTGTTGTATCTATGTGAGAATATGGGTGTTAGCTGAACCTGTTGTACTTACCATTTCACAGTATATGTAAATCACACCATCGTGCTGTACACGTTAAACTTCTACAGTGACATATGTCAAAAGTTTCTCAATAAAACTGGAAAAAATTGCTTTTCTTTACCCTGTTCTTTGATGATATATATAAAAGGCATTTCTTTGCATATTTGGACTTCACGTTGGTGTCAAATCAATTTTAATTCATGCTAAAGAATCTCAATTTGTTAACTAATAAAAATGTTCATTGAAAAAATATGGCAAATAAAAAAATGTAAAGAAGAAAGTAATAGTTACCTAAAATTTACCATGCAGTTGAGTTGTTCTAAAGTTGTGGTGTTTATCATTTTTTATGTGTGAGACCAGTAGTTTTCATGTCACTAATCAATCTTAGTGACTTCTAATGACTACATGGAACTCTGTAAATCCTGTAACTAATTTAGTCACCTTTTGAACTGTCATTTATATATAAAAATTTTGGCTTTTCAAAAAACATTATTCCTGGAAAATATAAATGATATTTTTAAAAGCTAGATGTTTAATAACTAATTAAATGACTTATCCTGAAAATTAATATAATGAGGAAGAGTCCTCAATAAGTCACTTAATATTTTTGAGAAGATTAAAAACTATGTATTTTAGCACAGCTGTAAGGTAATGAGGACCATAGTGTTAACTTCAGGGAAATAAGGAATATTTTATCTTCAGGGCTTTTTGTTGCTTGTTTTATCTTGCTTTATTTTGTGTGAATATGTACACATCATTGTGGTTTTATTTTTGTTTTACAAGGGAAATTTACTTCATTATTTGAAAATGATGTTTATGCTTATCTAACTGGTTTAATTCATTGGCAATATAAAATTTTGGAAAAATGCAGTGGTTTGATTAAGTAGTCTGATCATATGGTTTATTATTTATATTATGAATTACAGATTTTAAAAAAATGGACCATAAAAGCACAAAATAACTTTTTAATTTCATATTTATTATTGTTTTTTAAATAAAAGAATATATTTTATTCACTGAAAAGGTCCTATAAATTAAACCATATGTAGCAAAGTTTTTTATGAGATAATTAAATTGGGGTATCAAAAGAAATGCCCTCTACTTCAGTTGGATAAGTCTCCTTTCACCACTTCTGTCTTTCATGCAGTGAAGGAGACGTCTCCGCAGTCAGACTATCTGAGCTCAAAACTAAGGTCTCTCCAGTTACTGGCTGGGTGACCTTGGCAAGTTACCCAACTTTTCCTTTTCCCCTTTCTCCCTCTCTTCTTCCCTCCCACCCGTCTTCCCCTCCCTCTTCCCTTCCTTTTGCAATAACTGATTTTTAAAAAATATCATTTTGAAAAAAATTTATAATTACGGAAAAGTTGCAAAGTCCAAGAGTTCCTGTATATTTTTCACCCAGCTTCCCCTAATGTTCGCATCTTATATAACCACTTGTATAATTATCAAATTAACCATGGTACAGTATTCATAACTAAACTACAGATCTTACTTAAATCTTAACAGTTCTTCCACCAGTGTCCTTTTAGTAGGACCCCATACTGCATATAGTTGCCAAGTCTCTTCCTATCTATAACAGTCTTGTACTCTTTTTTCTTCATTACCTTAATGCCTTTGAAGAGTACTCCTTGGTTATTTTGTACACTTTCTCAATTCAGATCTGATGTTTTAATTATATCAAAGTTGTACATTTTTTACAAGAATACCACAAAATTGGTATGTCCTCAGTGCATTAAATCAGAGGTTCATGATGTTGAGATGTCTTATTACTGGGAAATTGATATGTCTTATTAACTTTGATCATGTGGTTTCTGCCAGGTTTCTTCACATAAAGGTTTCACTTTGTAATTGATAACTATCTTGGGAAAGCTACTTTAAAAGTAATTTGTATATAATGCTTCTCCTCAAACAAGATACTTAACTTTTTTGAATTTCATTTTCCTGTTCTGTCAAATGGATTATTATAATTCAGTGAAGTTTCATGTAAAGTATTTAGCATAATTTGTATTACATTACTAATTGTTGAATAAATGTTAGCTATTATAGTTATAGAGCATCCTCTAATAATTTGGAAGGCACCAAAATACATTGTCTATGTCTTGATCATTGTTAAGTTCAACTTAACTCACCTAAAGGTCCCTAGTGTTTTCAAGATACAGTTTTAGGCTATCCAGGTTTTTTACTGTTAAACCCAGTAAGAAATGTATTTTGCAACATAGTATACACACATATATACACTGTTCATGAAAGGTATATGTTTTCTACATGTGCTCTGCTCTATTTTCTATTGTACCGTGTTTTATTTAAAAAGAAAAATGCTGGTCATAACTTACTAAAGTGATATTACAACTCCCTGATAGACTCAACTAGCCTTTGGAAAGTTAGCATTGCCATACCTGTAGGAGGTGTGGTATGGGGCAAGAGCATAGATTTTAGTTAGGTTAATCTGAGTTTGCATCCTGGCTCCCCATTGTGTGACCTGGGCTGTGGCTCAGACTACTTGGAATCTGTATATTGAGGCTCCCCCTCTCTGAGCAGTGGTTGATGGACAGTGACAGTACTTGCCTCTGTGATTGCTTTCTGTGTGCTTCTACATGTACTCTGCTCTATTTTCTATTGTACTGTGTTTTTTAGCATAATATCAGATCCTCTGAAGATTGGTGTAATGTAGGCAAGAGAAGATGGGCTGTGCTTTGAAACTGACATTGGGAAGAAGGAATGGCAAATTTAAGAGAGTTTCTGGAGGTAAAATGCACAGAACTTGGTGATCAGGTGAATATAGAGTGTGAACAAGAAGAAGGGTTAAAGTGTCCTAAGATTTCTGCTACATGGAAATATTGGACAGGAAGTGCTCTGTAGAGACAATCACATGAACAGAAGCACAAAGATGAGAAAGTTCATTTAGGGAACATTGTTAGTCCATGTGATTTATGAAAGAATCTGATATCTCTTGTAAGGGAGTTGGAATCTTACAAGCTTGAAAATGCTGGACTAGAGTGATAACCCACTGATGCTTTATGAGCAAGGAATGGTATGATCACATCTGTGTTTTAAGAGGGACACAGTTAAATAATATTTGGATTTCATGTTTAGTGGCACTATGGTAATCTATACTTGTCAGCAATTGAATTGATTGAATTTTTCTGACTTCAGATGATGTGTTATTATATAAACAGGTCAGTTATTTCTTAAAAGCAAGAGAAAAATTCAGGAATACTCTGTTCAGAATCCCTCAAAGAAGTATTTCTTATTCTTCAGAAAATTTATCTCATGGGCTAATTAATCCTTTTGGTCATTTCAGACAGCATCAGTGATCTGTAGAGCTTAAATTGAATTACTTGAATTAGAATTAAGTAATTGGAAAGAAATATTAAAAGTAAGGAAGCATAGAAAATCTTGAAATATGATTAAGTTTAATTTACAAAAATATTTTCTTGAGTCCATTTGAAACATTACCAAGTAGTTTATTCCTTCAATGCTAGAATCACAGTTACCACACCTAGTTTAATCTATTGATGATGTTATGAACTACTTTAAAAATGAATTTCCTGCTCTAAAATTTACACTGAAGTCTTCATTGTTTGAATGCTCATTTCTTAGCAAATTAAACAAGGATAACTTTAAGGGAAGAAATGAACTGAAAGTTTAGATTTCCATATTTTGGACTTTCCTTTTGTCTCTTAGGTGTAAGCGGCAGGCCTTGGGCCAGCTTTTCTAAGTAGGGCAATATGGCTGAGGGGGCTGCCTTTCCTTTTCTGCTAGTTCTTGAGATATCCTTCCTTTTTAACCTTCCTTTTACCTTGAGCCTAATTCTTGGCCTCTGGATGCTTGCTCTTTTCTTTCTGTTTTTTTTTTTTTTTTAGAGAAAGAA